GTAACTTGACTTGCAAACTCGAAGGAAAACGTTGAATGTTGTGCTATTGATATTTGATGCCACACACAACCGTTGACATTCATTATATTTACATTTCGTATGAAATGATGTAATATGATTAAGATTACTCCAGTATCGTATTACATTTATGCTATTATATCCAACATTTGGCAAAAATTATTTGGAAAATAAAGTTCAATTATTTTAAAATGTTAGTTTTTTATTATTATTTTTTTTTTTCAGAGAATAGGGATGGTATCCTAGCTGGTATATTAAATGAAACATGAAAAATGATAGGAGGGACAAATTCAGCCTAGTCCAATATACTGAAAGGATAAGAAAGTCTAAACCTTTGAAACAACAATTACATGAAAAGTTTTCTGAAAATCTAAAAAGCTAAAACTAATCAATTAAACTCTGATCTAAATATTCAATGCGAAACTGTCTTTAGGTGTATCTAGCTGAAATCATGACGATAATTATACCAACTCAATCTGTCATCCGATAGTGTTATGCAACATGAAGCAAGTAAGTCGTTAGCTAAGAATAAAACCTCGCAAGATTTGTACTAGAATGTCCAATCCGCTTGCCTATCAACTGCCTGCCTTATTGCCTCGATTAATTTTTAAAGAAATAAATTATATTTTTAAAAATATGGAGACTAAATTGAACTTATATACCTAAACTCCCTTCTTCATGTATCTGTATTGTCAATTGTTAACCGTCATTCCATAGCCCCAAATCACTCAAGTGGCCAAAGCAATCCCGTAGACCATCCAAACAACATTACAATATTAAAAACCCGACTTCATAAAAAATCAATTTGATCCTTATATTTCTACAAAGTGCAATTTTGTCCTTCTCTAATGTACAATTATTAGGATCAATACCAGCATCTTGCCAATTTTGATGTAAATTGATAAAATTTGAAAGACAGGAGGTATCACTACCAATTGGCATTGCCACAAATAAAGGGGTAAAAAAAGAGAGAGAGAGAGAATGAGTTCAACTTTTTGTTTTTTGTGTTTTTTCCGTTAATAATGTCTGACGTTGTACTTTGTTAAGTTTAGTTGAAAGTGTCAACATATATTAAAATAAAATAAAGAGCAAGTGAAACAATTAATTCCCATTTTCCATTTGGTTGACATGTCGTACCGTAGAAAAATGTACCTGCTAGCTATGATTAATTTATTTTAAAGTAGATTACGATTGTTTTACGTTGGAATTAAGTTTTAATACGAATATTCGACGAAGTTCTACGGTTCTACCCACCATCATCAATCCAATCCAATTCAAAATGAATAATAATCAACGGACTTCATTAATTAAATGATTGAGACCAAATCTCAACATTTGATGTCGTAATCTCTCCTTTCTTTATTTGCAAGCCATTATAAACAATAAACAAACAGTGACAACAGCTCTCTCATTACTTCTAATTAATACAGTAGTACAGGCACATAGCTTAATTAAAGTGTTTTTTTTTTTTAAGAATAAGAATTTAATTAAGTATTAAAAATAATCATCGGTGTAAATCTCGACTTAACATAGTGTCCTTATTAATTATAGGTATTAATCAGTAATAAAGTTTGGTTATGATGATTTGATACGAGAAAGGTACTTACAAGCATAATTATTTAATTTGAAAAGGTTGGTTTCATGGTTAAAGAGGTTTATTTATTTTTTAGTTTTTGTTCAATATTAGAGTCAACACTTTAAAGAATTTATTAAATCTTTATAAAAATCTCTATGAAAAGATTTAATTTCAATTAACGTATAAATTGATCTAAAAATATTATGATAGTTAAAAAAAAACCATAATTAATTAAATAATTTTGGCACATTATCTATTACTACTAGGTTAGCTTTGTGTGCTTTTATTTATTTAATTTTTTTTTTAATTTGCTAAATGTATTTCTGTAGAGTTTTTTGTCTTTTAATTCTTTAAGAGGAGGGAAGGATCTATTGTCGTTTGATTATAAATTAATGCACCACAAAACCCTTTTTTTCCAACAACTTGCATTTCATTAAATAAAGGGAGGAAAAACTTTCTCAACCATTACAATAAAAAAGTTACAAGTATCGGCAAAAATTACCTCGTATTCATACACTATCAATTTTAAACCATTGGAATTCATCTACGTAATTTTTGTACAAACCCAATTAATCTAATACGCCAATTGATTTATGTCTACTCAATCAAATGTGTATGAATTAATGCTTGAAAATATAATTTCAAAACTAGAATCTTTTTCTAAAAATTGAAAATAATAAAAGAAATTAATTATTATTTAAAAAATGAGAACAAATAAAAAGAAATACAAAAAGATTGATTATTTTTTTAAAAAAATAATTACTATTTTTTTATTTTACGTTTATTTTTTTCATTTTTCAATAATACTAATTTTTTATTTTCAATTTTAGAAAAAAAATCGGTTATTTTAAAAAATAAATTACTCAATACATTCATCTGAACAAAATAAATTAATGTCAAAAAACTTAAAGCTATGATAGAACAATTATTTTTAAGAAAACATGAGAACGCCGAACAACGATTTTGCGCAGAAAATGAGTTCCCCACCACCACCCACACTCGGACCATACAAAATGTGTAGGACCTTTTTGGGTTGCCAACTTGCCAGAGTCCATAATCCATGACCAGATCAGACAGGTTTTCAGCCAGTTGTTTCTTGATTTTAAAAATGGATCAAATCCAGCATCTGTTTTTCACCCTCAACCAGGAGGGGAAAATAGTTGGAGAGAATCTAATTATCATACATCTTTTCTTTGCTTTTTTTTTTTTTAATCGATTGCAATTATTGTCTCTGCTTATTTAATGATTTTGCCATTTATCTTTATCGGAGATGGAAGTCGATGAGAATGAAATAATTTTCCAAATTAATGCACTTAAATTTGATTCTTTTCATCCCTATTTGAAAAATAATTTATGAACAAATAAATTATATCAAAAACTAATAACCATGTATGTGGCAAGTAATTAGTGATTATTATAACCCAAAGGGCTGGCAGTAGGCTCATGGGATATATTCCTTCTTACCTATCCAAATTTGCATGTTTGGTAATTTCTTTTTATTTTTTATTTTTTATTTTTTAATTCGGTATCTTTACTTCTTCTTCTTTTTTCAATTCATGCTTTTTATTTGCTAAAGATAATTTTTTTTATAAGATCCTAAGTCAATTTCAGTCTAAATTTATTATTATTATTTTTCATGTGAATTGACATATCACATAAAATTAACTAAAAGTTTTGTAATTTTTTGTCTTACATGTAAGTATTTAATTAATTAAACTTTACAATTCGAAAATATTAAGTGACAAAGTGTAGAGTTTTTCCAAGATGTCTTTATAAAAACTACTAAAGACTCTATTCATGCACTTTCTATTAAAGTGCCTCAACATATCATTTAGGTTAAAATAAAATTATATTTTTTTGTATTCTAAATAAATTTTTCTCCAAACATTTTTATTTTGTTTTTTTTTTTATTACTGTATATTTCTCATACTCGTTTTTTCGACAATAAAGATATTTTTTTAACTAGCTTTTACGTAAATTTTTTTTTTTTCATATTAGTGTTTCTTAATTCCATGTGTAAAAGCTATGGGTGTCCATTACATTAATTAATTTCAACTAGTATATACTATTGAACCCATACTTGATTGAACCATCTCAGTACAGTCACATAACCTAGTTTGTCGTGCTTTTCATCTCATCCATCGACCGTGGAGGCTAGTTAAAAATAGCAGTTAACTAACTCAGTACAGCCACTATTAATTGACTTTAACAAAGGTTAAGGATAGGTTCATGATGAAATTAGTATTTTTTAATACGGGAAGAAATTAAAAAAAAAGGTACAGATTAGAGACTATTTTCCTCAATCAAACCACTATTATACAAAGGAGTCCATTGTATATATATATTTATATATAGTATGCATTAACCAGGTACTCTCATATTACTTTTCTGAGTATTTATGTCTGATTTTAAGCAAATAAAATGCTTAGATTGATAAATTTATAAAAAAAATTATTTTACTTTGTAACTTAATTGAGAGGAGTTTATTAAATAATTTTTTCATGACATGGAATTGTTTGCAATATTTACAGAAATCTATAAAGCCCAACGGGAGAGAGAATGGTTGGTGCCAGCCTCATTTGCTTAGCGAAATGTCCAAAATATTCACATTTTAGTCCCAAAATCACAGCCAAGACATCAGTCATCGGACAATATGGGAAGAATTCAAGTTGTTGTTTAAAAGATAACTACTGTTGACAGGAATTTGTGGTAGCCATTTTGCGTCACTGTGAGGGAGAGTTGGGGCCCCTAAGAGATGAAGCAATTTCTAGTCACAAACTTATGTTTCTTTTTATCAGGAAAAAAGTAAACGAGTGAAGAGATAATAAGAGTGTAAAAAAATTCTTAAATTATCAATCGTTTATTGAATTAGTGTTACAAGCCTTGAAAATTTCAGATTAAACCTTTTAGTTTGTTTTGAGTATAAAAATGAGTTTTTTTTTTTTTAATATTGAAATGTTGTTTTTTTACATTGAAAATATTATTTTAATAAATTTTTAAAGTGATTTATCAATCAAAATAGTACAATTTTGATAATGAATAATGATAGAGGAGATTTTAATCCAAACATCAAATAGTTCATATATTAAATTCAAAAAATTATATATATATATATATATGGGAAATAACCCAGAAATTGTTTAGTCTAATATTAATACGAACGAAAGTGTTTTTAGCATTAGGAATCAAACGAAAAAAAGGAGGAGTAGCAGTGGTATATTCAAAATGGGACCCTAATAATTGACTTATTGGATCCAAATTCTTTTCCACATTTTTTCCCCTATATATAAGGATCTTAAAAAACAGCCTTAGAGTTCTGCAATAAATCTCCATTTCCCACTCTCCCCCGGCGCCTCTCTCTCTATCTCTATCTGCCAGAGACTCTGACACTCTTCCCTCCAATATCATGGCTTCCACGACCTGCTCAGCAGGCGATCTAGCCCGGTTACTGGGCCCCAACGTTACTAACTCCGCTGGCGCTGCCGCTTTCATCTGCTCCCAATTTAGCACCGTCGCGGACAGCTTCGCCGCCACCCAATATGCCGTGGACAACACATATCTCCTCTTCTCTGCCTATCTTGTCTTCTCCATGCAACTTGGCTTTGCCATGCTTTGTGCAGGCTCCGTACGTGCCAAAAACACCATGAACATCATGTTGACCAACGTTCTTGACGCTGCAGCCGGTGGCCTCTTTTATTACCTCTTTGGTTTTGCTTTTGCCTTTGGGACTCCCTCCAATGGCTTCATTGGCAAACACAACTTTGGTCTCAAGGCTTTCCCTTCTTCTTCTTTCGATTATAGTTACTTCCTTTATCAGTGGGCTTTTGCCATAGCGGCTGCTGGAATAACCAGCGGTTCAATAGCTGAAAGAACCCAGTTTGTGGCTTATTTGATTTACTCTTCTTTCTTGACTGGGTTTGTTTACCCAGTTGTGTCTCACTGGTTCTGGTCTGGTGATGGGTGGGCTAGTGCAACAAGAACAAATGGGGATTTGTTGCTCGGTAGTGGAGTTATTGATTTTGCAGGGTCTGGTGTGGTGCATATGGTGGGTGGGATTGCTGGTCTTTGGGGTGCTCTAATTGAAGGTCCAAGAATTGGGCGTTTTGACCATTCAGGCAAGTCTATTGCTTTACGTGGTCACAGTGCTTCCCTTGTGGTTCTTGGCACTTTCTTGCTTTGGTTTGGTTGGTATGGGTTCAATCCTGGGTCATTTACTAAAATTTTGATCGCTTACCCTGATGGTGGCTATTATGGTCAATGGAGTGCAATTGGTAGAACTGCTGTTACAACAACTCTGGCTGGCTGTACAGCCGCTTTGACCACTCTTTTTAGTAAAAGAATTTTGTCTGGTCATTGGAATGTTACTGACGTTTGTAATGGTTTGCTTGGTGGGTTTGCTGCTATTACTGCTGGGTGCTCTGTGGTTGAACCATGGGCTGCTATAATATGCGGGTTTGTTGCCTCTTGGGTGCTGATTGGCTGCAACAAATTGGCTGAGATTTTCAAGTTTGATGACCCATTAGAGGCTGCACAGTTACATGGCGGATGTGGGACTTGGGGTGTCATTTTCACCGCCTTATTTGCAACTGAGAAGTACGTGAGTGAGGTTTACCCCAATAAACCGGGTCGTCCATATGGGTTGTTCATGGGCGGTGGTGGAAAGCTCTTGGGTGCTCATTTAATACAAATTTTGGTGATTATTGGATGGGTTAGTGCCACTATGGGTCCGTTGTTTTTTGTTCTTAAAAAGCTTAAGCTCTTGCGGATCTCAGCCGAGGATGAGATGGCGGGTATGGATATGACCCGGCATGGTGGGTTTGCTTATATTTACCATGAGGATGATGATGCTCATAAGAATGCGATCCAATTAAGGAAAATAGAGCCTACTTCTACAACCCCTAATGCACATGTGTAAGAGGGACTATATATTTTATTTTATTTTTTTTTACTTTTTTTTTTTTTAGGGTTAGTGTTTGGATATTGCTATGGATATATTGTGTGCGTAAGAAAGATAATATGTAGGGTTTGGTCATTGGGGGGTGGTGAATGTTGTTGGGGATAACAAGGACTTGGACTAGATTGGTTTTGTTTTTCTGTTCACAATCAAGTTGATATAGTAATTGTGGAAATGTCTTCCTCTATTTTGTGTCAATTTGGTCATTTGTGGTGGAGAGAGCCTTTGGAATTTGGAAGTCATTTGGCAAGTAGTAGTGGATGAGATGAGACTAGCTCGTGGTGGGAATGCTTTTGTTTTTACTTTTCTTTTGTTTTGGTATGGTGCATGTGGTCGTCATTGGGTTCCCAAAGGCATGGGAGTTGTTTTGGTATTTTCCGGGAACAACAAACAAAAGAAAAATCAAAATCAAGTATTGTGATTTTTTTTTTTTCTTTTGACATGTGCTTGGATTCATTTATGAATTTTTGACGTTTAGGCTTCTTGGATCTAGCTAGCTGTTTTCATGGGTCCCGTTAATGCCGGAGTAGGCAGAACCTTGTCGATGGTAAAAATCTTTTACGCCATATTTATTATTTCTTTTTTCCAAAGCTATGTTTTTGTTGCGCGTGTGAGATGCGCAAGTACTTCTCGCATTTGTATATAAGAAGATTGCAGCCTATCAAGTTCTGCAATCTAATTCTTGATGGTATTCCTTTTCAACGAGAGCAGTAAGCGGGTTGCTCAGTTTATGATGAAGTGACATTGCCCATTTTGTAGGAATGTTCAACCACTAACTAGTTTACAGCTAGCTATTCTGTTTGGCACGTAATTATTGATCACAGCAGTTGTATCAAAATACTAAAAATCTTTCTGTATTCTTAATCCAAGGATTTTAATCCAACATTTTTCGGTTAAGATGGATCTTTATGTAATTTTAACCCAATAATTTTTTTTATTAAGATGATTATTTGACGCCTTGTTAATAGCTATTTATCGTCTCATTGGTTAAGATGGATCTTTATATAATTTTAATTCAATAATTAAATGGTTATTTCACTGTTAATGGTAATTTTTGTGATCTCCTTGTTGGATGGAACATGTGCAATGAGATAGAGATAATTATATATACATAATGTATGGTCTCAGATCATAATATATTGATTTAATTTACATAATCTAGACATCAATTGGGACCAAATTTTCTTTACAAAATTGATAATTTTAAACACATACCTCTTTAAATTTATCTCGTGTAATCAAATTATAAGTGAAGAAGAGGAAGGTATATTTTTTACCACAACATCTGTCAGGGCTAAAATATGCAACGTTTACATTGTACTGCACGGAAGCTGATATATGTCGACCATGACTAATAATCGCCAAGTTCAAACCAAAAGATGGTAGCATGCTCATAGTAATTGTTGACTTATAAACTAACTCCAATGATGAATTATTATGATCAATATTCTGAATAATTTATTTTTAAAATATTCAAAATTATGTATTAAAAAATATCTTTTAATCACATTTAAAAAATAATTAATTTTGAAATATATGATAACAGATCTAAATATATTTTTACTTTTGAACAAAAAAAATAAAAACAAAAATAAATAGTCACCAAAGTTCACACTAGCACAAGTCACAGAATGTGGACTTAGCTGGATTATTTATGTTTGCCATTTTGTTCGATCAAACATACCATGTGACCCCAACTTTATTTCTTTTTTGGGTGCGCAAGTAAAGAAGCCATTACTAACAAATGGATACCTTTTTCCCTGAAAAAAAAAAAAAAAAAACCTAAAAAAACTAATCGTAGCATACAAATAATCATTTCACCTAAAAATTTAAGATATTAGATGAGATCACAAAATATGATTTATATGATTCTTTAATATATCTTCTCAAGTGAAAGTCCTTTGATTTTAAAACTTACATAGAATCACATTATTTTGTACTTAATTAATTAAAAATAAAAGTCAAAGTGATAAGATTTGAATTCTTGATCGTTAGATTAATAAAATTCTAATATCATGTTAAATGATAATCCAAAAAGTTAAGTTATTAAGTAAAATATTAAGATATGATTTATATGATTATGTAAGAATGATATTTATTTTCTAATATCACATATGGTATAGTAAATCAACTTTCTAGTTGGACAGGTTTGAAGAAGTTTTAGGTTGGATGTAACTTTTTAGCATAGGTAGCTGTCTAATATTTTAGCCGTATCTTTTTAATTAGTTTTTTTTTTAATTAGCTATCTAATATTTTAATTAGTTTTTTCATCTTTGACTTGATGGTTATGTAACAACAATAGAGTAATCCTTTAATATGTTTTTACGTTTTTAATTATTTTAATTTTATTCTTGAATATATGTATTTTAAGTTTTTTAATCTATCATTTTGACAAAAAAAAAAAAACTTAAATTGAATTATAAAAATTAATTACATAATCTATACATGCAAGCTTTTCATTTCTTCTCTTGCAAAGATATTTTAAAATAAAAAATAGAATTGTGCAAATCGTATAACTAATTTGGATGGTTTGGTTAGAAAATTTTATCAAAATAATAAATTAAAAAATTAGTATATATTCAATGATAAATTCGAATTTAATTATATAAAAATATATTAAGTCATTAACCTTTCATTTTTTTTATCAATTCATAAATTTCCATAAAAGAAGAATAATAAAACTAAATGGTATAAATGTAAGTGTCACACGGGTCTACTTAGCTACAAAACTCCCAGCCAAGAAACCAAAGAATAAAAAATGACCAGTGCTACATGACATCAGTGATGTAAAAAAAATCATTATAATTTTATAAATATAGTATTTTTTTAGAGGAATATAAGAAAGAGTACTTTATTTGAATGATTATTATGTTATTTGATATTTTTATTTTTTAAATTTATTCTTAAACTTTTTTTATTTTTAAAAATAATATCTGTAACTGTGCTGTAAGTAAGCATTTTTCATAAAAAAAAATGGATGCTCTCTAGGAGCATTCGGTGTGGGAAAACGTAAGATTCTAAAGGATTAATTAAAATATGATGTATTCTCCAGTACTTTTTGAAAAGTTAAAAGTGTTTTGTAGGCATGCACGAATACTTGTTAATTTCAACAATTTTCTATAGATTTGAGAACCCACGTATTTTTTTTTATTATTTTCTTGTCCTCCAACGTCACAAACTCAAAAATCCAAATTAATATCTTGTTATTTGATGAAATACACAAAATAAATACATCCATTAAATGAGTTTTTTTTTACGTAAATAAAGCTTTAAAATTAAAATTATTTATTTAAATTGTTAAAGTCTGTCTAAGCTAATTTTATTTAATAGAATCCTACGTTAATTGGTAACGTATAAAGAAGGTCAAATTGTTGAACGTGACAATAAGAGTGCATTTAAAAATTGAACTTTCCATGAAGGTTCTCAGTCATCCTTACATTTTAGACTCGACTCCAAGCCAAAGAAATAAAGGAAAGGTTGGTATGCATCAATATCATAAATGTGAATTGTCTTTGTAAGAAGACTTTGAAAGCTGCATTGTTGACTTCACAAAGATGGAGAATGGTCATAATAATAGTGCCCTTAAAAGTTAAACTCATCTTTATTATCCATGGCGGCCCATCATTGGTGATTTAGAAATTAACATGGTGTTTCTAATATACAAAGCGAAATGCCCACAATGATGGATTCAAATGCTGCTATTTGCTTTAAAGTAGAGATTTAGCTGGGAAGGAAAAGAAGAAGAACAGAAATGGCACCATTCGAGAATAATGGATTTAATCGTTATTTTCCAAAGGCTATCGTGGTGGCTCAATAGGAATTTGCTCACTTTCGACTTCACATGTCATACAAGAGGCTCACGTGATACTTGTTCTCTCTTATGGATCGTTGGTTACTTCTCCAAAGGGTAGGAAGAAAAACAGAAGAATCGTGACTAAACTTGCTTTTTTCTTACATGATTGGGCTTTTTCATGATTTTAGTAATTAGAAGAAAAAAGTTTTATTACTCTTGCGGAATCCTAAAGAAGAAAGTTTATTTTCGTGAAAGTTTTGTTAATTAAGTATTTTTTATTCAATCATAAAGAAAAACTTCGGTTTATTCATGCGTTAAATGACATTAAATTCTTTTTATATACATATATAATTTTAAAAACATTGAAACATAGATTTAGTATATTCAAGATAAACTCCATAAATTAATAAAATATATCTTCTAACTTCTTAAATTAAAATTAATTGATTGAATAAAATGTATAATTTTTTCACTCAAAAAATCCAACAAAGTAAGTATACCTACCTAACTATGACTCTACCATTCTTTTGAGTTGAAACAATAATTTTAAATAGTGGATAGTTGAAAAAAAGATCGCAATCATCATCACGGATCGTAACTTATTATAATCTTAAAATAACAATAACAGAATACTTCAAAATCATTACATGACGATCGTTATATAACATAATGATCGTTATTTAAATCGATGGTTGAAACGAATTAATTGAATATGATGTGTAATCCAATAAAGTAATTTTTTCTATACATTCACTCGATTGGAAAATGGAACGATCTCCCATTCAAGTTTGGGCCAAGCCCAGTCTAGCTCACATAACAACGGGCCTTGTTGCATTGGTCCTGAAGCAAATTTCATTTTTGACCCAATAGGCCGATACTAATAAAATAAAAGCAAGACGAGTTTTAAAAGGGTAAGAAAACAACCGAAATCGAGGGGCTGTGTTGTGCCTACGCCGATGCCATGAGCATGGAGGTTCTCCTTGCTAGCTCTGCTGCTCGGTCTCCGTTTCCCCATTTCTCTCTCCCTAACACCAGCATAAAACCCACTCGCAGCTCCACTAACTCTCAGGTACGCGCACAAATAATTTATAATTAACGCTTCAAATCACTAGAATATTGCATACATTTTCAGATTGAAAAATAGAAGGGGGCGATTAAGCAACTGCAATTGCAATAATTATGCAGGTTCTGCTATGGAAATCTCCGTTAATGAATGCACAGATAAATTACAATAATAATAGGCATAGAAGCTGTAGTAATTGTGGTGGGGCGGCTTCTAGACACGGTGTTTCCTCTGCGAAGGGTATGTTTTCGAGCCCCTATGGTTGCTGCAATCTCAAGTTGGGGAAGTGTATTGGCAGGATTCAAAAAGTAATTAATTCTTCAGAAAAAATGAGAAAACATGCTTCTACTCTTTTTACGCGGTTCGTTGTTTCAGTGTTGGTGGTTACATCAGTTTCTTTGGCCGTCAGCAATCCGCCTTCTTGTGAGTTCAATTTCTATGCAACAAATATTATGGAGATGGTGCTAAATTATGTGTGCAGATTGGCTGTTTTTTGGCCCTCCTGGTTAACCCTTGTTGTTTTGTAGGGGCTCTGAGTGAAGAAAATCTTCTCTTCTTAGAGGCTTGGAGGACAATTGACCGTGCTTTTGTTGACAAAACCTTCAATGGCCAAAGTTGGTTTCGTTACAGAGAAAATGCATTGCGCAATGAGCCAATGAACACGCGAGAAGAGACATGTATGATTCTATTCTTGGCAAGTCATACACTTTGTCTTTTGCTGCATCTCACCTGGCTAAAATTAGGTTGAAATCGCTGTAACTATATGCAAGTTGGAAAGAGAAGTTTTCAATTATTTTTGTACTTCAGAACCATTAATAGTAGAATCAGTAGATAAATGTAGTTTCGGAGAGCAGGTTTGAGATAGAAAGAAGGAAAAAGGAAACTTGTGTGTAAAAAGTTGAAGCATCATGTAAATTGTATCCATATATTAGGCATGTTTTTCTCTGATGACCAACATCACTGTGCTGCCAGCTGAAGCTAGTTATCAACAAATTATTTTTATTTTTAATAGTTGACATTATCATTCACTTCTAATGTTCCATCTCTCTAAGCCCTAGTACATATTTGCAATCAGACACGGCTATCAGGAAGATGCTAGCAACACTTGATGATCCTTTCACTCGATTCCTAGAACCTGAGAAGTTCAAGAGTCTGCAGGTATGAGGCATTTTTTTCATAGTGATGTTATCTATTGCAATTTGAGCAGAATAACAGGAAGCAGATGTGTAGGTGTTGATAAATACTGTCTACTTAAGAGGGATTTTTATGAATTTGACGTTCTTATCTGAAACCTGTCCGTGGTTTCTCTGAAGGCAGTCTGGAACAAAAAGTGCTGTTACTGGTGTAGGCCTGTCAATAGGCTATCCTTCAGGCTCTGATGGATCACCTGCTGGACTTGTTGTCATTTCAGCTGCTCCAGGAGGTCCTGCAAATAGGGCTGGCATTTTGTCTGGGGACATTATCTTGGCAATAGATGGTACAAGCACAGAAAGCATGGGCATATATGATGCTGCAGACCGGTTGCAGTGAGCATCTTTCTTTATAAGGCACCTTTTCTAGAAATTTGATCGATTTAGTAGGTCACACAATTTGTCTACCATGTCACACACAGCCAGAATTCCATCGAGATCAATAGTTTCTGATCACCAAGGGACTTGTGAATTAGAGGTTTTCACAGGATTTATTAGACATGTGCTGGGGGTTCATCAAATAATCACAAGGTATCTTAGTGTGAGTGAAAGTTTAAAATGTCATACCTTGCATGACATTGTACTTGGGAAGATTAGGACCGCTTTTTGTGCTTTTTTATCCTTTTGTAGAGTTTTTTATATGACTAAATTGACATCTAAGTCACATGATTGTTTTTTACCAACTTCTCCGACCCACTCAAAAGCACGAGGAAAAGGCATACTATCTTATGCATGCATTGTCTGCCGATGATGAATTTATGAGAAAAAGTGACTGCATTCAAAAGAATGGGGAGAAGTGGACAAATGCTAGACCACCACTATTTCTTAGTGGGATTTGGTTTCTAAACATCTCACTCCCTTCTCTATAGGGCATCATGGAGGAAAAAGGTTCATGTAGGCTTACTTGATTTGGAAGCAAGTCTTTGTTGAGTTGAATGTGTTTATGCTCAGCAGATTAGATTACAAACACTCTGTATTATCTTGGTATATATGTGGTTATGGTTATTCGTTTTGTAGTTATTGTTCCTGTGATTCCCAAGCATTGATGACAAACTGCCTTTAATTTATCCATTAAATTTGCAATTTTCCGAAGCTTGTATAGTGAATTGTAGGGGACCTGAAGGAAGTTCAGTGGAATTAACCATCCGCAGTGGGCCTGAAATAAAGCAACTTGCTTTAACGTAAGTTTACTGCTTTGTTTTTCTCTCCTTTGATGTGAGTGAACTTCTTGTTTAATGGAAATTTGATCCCACTTCCATCAGAGTGTAGATTAATTCTGCTATTTCAAAGCAGTTCTTACCATTGAAGACCTGTTCTTTACTGTGCTTTTACTGCAGAAAATTGAACTTCTTCAAATAGGAACGTATTAAGCACCCCTATGCTTTATGCATGTCTGATAGATAGCATGCAGTAAAAGGAAAAAGACAGTCACAATTGCCTGATTTCCTTGCATTGAATACATACGCTTCTTACATCCTATCAAACATATCTTTAATGTTTTCGACATTTGGAGCTAACTGCTGCTTTCCAGGCGAGAGAAAGTGTCTCTAAGTCCAGTGAAGTCAAGACTCTGCAAAATTCCTGGTTCAGGGAAGGATTCCCCAAGGATCGGTTATATTAAACTGACAACATTTAACCAAAATGCTTCAGGTAGTTTGAGATGACTATTTTAATTTCTGAGGAATTATTTTCATTATTATTATTATTATTTTTTTTTGAATAAAGCTGGAATTTCTCGGTCATAAATGGATGCACTGGACAATCTGCATCCCTTACCAAGTTCAACATATTTGGATTATAAACTCTGTAAATAGTCTTCTGTAAATAGTCTTCTGTAAATAGTCTGCTATTTCCCCATTGTAATAATTTTAACGATTTAGATAATGCCAGGTTTGCATATTGTATGAGTTCAGTATGAACATTTGTGGTTGCCAAGTGTGCTTGTCTTTTGCACTTTAAAATTTAAAGTAATTAGAATGAAATGTTTCTGGGAATTTGATCTATTTGGGAAAGCTTGTTGAGATTTCACATATTTTGCAGGTGCAGTCAGGGAAGCCATCAATACCTTGAGGAGTAATAATGTTAATGCCTTTGTGTTGGACCTTCGAGATAATAGGTGATTAGCTTTGAACATTGTACATTTTAAATTTGATCTTATGGCACCATTCTGAAAGCTTGAATTTGCTGCAGTGGTGGTCTGTTTCCAGAAGGGATTGAGATTGCCAAGATTTGGTAAGTTAAATTGGACTGTTGGTAAACAACTTGCGACAAAATGTATGTGTTTGATTTAGATATATGGGCTTAAACCTAGGTTTGATAGGAGTTTTGGCTACATAGTCATTTGGTCATGGTTTTGGTTTCTTTTATTTCAAAATGTATATCTATTGTCTCTTCCTCTATACCTATTGTTGGTTTCCCAAAATCAAAGTGACATGTCTTGATTGCCAAATCCATAAATATCGTTTTCTTGGTTTTTATCCAAAAGAAAAGAACTAGATGGATATATGGACATGTGTGTGTGTCTGTGTAAGTATATATTTGCATGCGTGTAGTTCTGGTGTCTTTTGTGTATTTATATTAGGATATGTCCATGATTTGTATGTCATATGTCTTTCTTCACTTCATTGTCGCGTTGCTTCTTTTTATTGCCTGCAATCTGCATGGCTTAAAACAATTGAGCTCTTGACTACCTGGCATTGGGATGATGCTAGAAGGTGCCTTGTTGCCTTTTGCAGTTGATGCACACATAATGCTTTTTAATAAATACCTTTTATACCAAAATGTATCGCTGCAGGTTTAGATTTTTAATTTAGAATCAAGGTTGTTGAAAACTTAAGAAACATGCTTCTTTTCATTTTTTCTCTCTATTCAATCCAGCATCGTTTCATTTTCTACACTCATTGTCCAAGATCACACACTTACTCACTCAGCAGGCGTTTACTTTTTTTCCCTAATACATTTCAAGTGGGAACAGTGTTCTTGAGACACTGTTACTGTAAATGTATATACAAGTAAAATAGATGGCAAGTGCTATTCAGAATTTGCAGTGCGCCAGTTTTACTAGAAGGCAGAATCTGTGTTTATTACTAACACTTAAAAAAAAAAAAAAAAGATATAGATCTAGTGCTTAAAATCAACTGTATATTTTTGGGTCTACTGCATTCCTGGAAAGGAGAAAACCATTAAGGCGTTATTGTCGCTTTGCTTCCAGTGTTTATTGGAAGGGCTTATAGTCATATTTGTTTGAAGTGTATCTTGATGTTAATGCACATAATGATTTTGGGATATTAGATTGTCTAATCTCATAATTGTACATTGATTTTTGACCTATGTTTGGACATAATTTAGTATGTGTGGTTGGTTGAATAGTTGCCATCTTCTTCTCCTTTTTTGGGGGTTCTTACTCAAAAGATTATTGGAACCGTGAATTAATATAACAAATGTGATCTCTAATCATTCATTACTTCTATTTATTCAAAATCATGGTATGCTAGCCTGTTAATTTGCTGATTTTGTTCAGGTTAGACAAAGGTGTCATTGTGTATATTTGTGATAGTCGTGGGGTTAGAGATATCTATGACACAGATGGGAGTGGTGCAATTGCAGCTTCGGAACCCCTTGCTGTACTGGTAAGCTTTGTTATACTGAATCCAGGGGTCATGTCATAATTTCATTGATACTTGGAGTATGTAACTTGAGCAGTTAAATTTTTATGAACTCTCAGTTGTCTTGAAGCAGTCAACTTGATGTCTTCTGTATATGAGCAGTCACGAACTCTCTCTCTTTCAATTTCTAATATGATCTGGTTGCTGCATAAAGAAACTGCTTTGCATGTCATCAAGCTTCTGCAAATTACTCCATTCTTACTATTTGTTCTGCCCGTGGTATTAAATTTCCATCACATCATCAGTGTCTCTCCCTGTGTGTTTGGGCAAAGAGCTTTACTATAAGAGATTTTATATTCAATTATGTGCTTGATTTCACATTTCATCAGCAAATCTTTGATCAGGAACCACTTACTTTGTTCCGAGTTTCAATTAGGTGAACAAGGGAACTGCAAGTGCAAGTGAAATATTAGCTGGTGCATTGAAAGACAATAAGCGTGCTGTTTTATTTGGGGAACCCACATTTGGAAAAGGGTAATTGCTTCTGCTTCTAACATTTGTGAACCATCTCATCTGTGCCTAACCAGCGTGTTAATCCTGTTCCGCAGCAAGATTCAATCAGTTTTTCAGCTATCTGATGGTTCTGGCTTGGCTGTTACAGTCGCTCGTTATGAGACACCTGCTCACACAGATATTGACAAGGTTTGTAGCTGATTCTTTATGCCAGTATCTCTCTCTCTCTTTCTTTCTATTGAGGTAATTCTTCTTGCTTTTATGTAGGTTGGTGTGATTCCAGATCATCCACTACCCAAATCCTTTCCTAAGGATGAGGAGGGTTTCTGTGGCTGCCTCCAAGACCCTGCATCTTCTTGCCACTTTAATAGGGGCCAGCTATTTGCTAGATGAGATATTCTTGTGTTTTTACAATATATAATTTTTTTTTTTTTTGGTTAAACACAGCATAATTTTTTCTCAAATGGAGTCAATTCATTCTTTTGATGGTCCATTGATCTTTGCTGGTGTAAGTTTAACTCAAGCAAACATTTCCTTCATTATTTTAATTAAGGGATGTAAAACAGATTCGATTTTGTTGACTATGGTAATGAACCGAGAAAGCTTTACCACTAAGATTTTTAGTTTTGCCAAGTCCAAAAGGAGATATCTCTTTAATTCATTGCCGATCTTAGGCTGAAAATCAGATGCCCCGTGCTTGTTATGGCCCAGGCCCACTACATGCCTACTATGAAGCCCAAGATCAAAGGAATTCGTCTCCCACCATACCTCCAGTTCTAGCTATGGTCATCCTTTAGAATAGCTCAACCTCTGTTCGTTATTTTCTTCCTTGTAAGATAGTTCAAACTAATGTTAGTCTCTTCCAAGTCATAATACGGCAGCACATTGGGATTTGATTTTCCTATTTTATTGCTAATTACCGTTGTAATAAGTCCTATATAAAGGACTCATGCAAGTGAATAAGGAATATGAACAATTTCCCCTATTCTTCAGAAATTTTGAACTCGAATATTGTTGAGAAAATTTGGCACACAGTATTTTGCTTATTGGTTTCCTCTCGGCTCTTAGATAATTTAATTTTTATTGTTATGAAGATTGCAGAAAAAAGAAGAGAGGAGATCAGTTTGTCCTGACTGACAATTACCAAAATGTCACTTGAAGAACATCGTTGGCGGTAGCATTCAATGTTTTTTGAAAAAATCTCAGGTTGATACTATGTGTGGAAGCAGGTTGAATGAAAGACATCTATAATATACAATGAACGGATCTTCATCACCTCAATGAGAAGCTATCATGATATCTCTAACTATTGATTCTTCGACCTTGCTTACGCTGATTCAAATTGCATGGAAAGCATTCCAGTACGAACAGAAACAATCCCGGCCTTAGAATTTTTATAACTCAATCTTCTAGTTTGCAAGAAAACCATATCAAAGGCTTGCATCAATCGAAGCCAATTATAATGATGAAAAGCGCTAAAGCATCTTTGTCCAGGAACCTAAAAATGGGAAAACAGCAACTAACAATCTCAACAGCAAGGGAGTGTCCCTTTTTATCCCACCCATGCTCAACCCGCCATTCACCGACGGTTTCCTTCGAGACTGGCGTTTCCTTTGAGGTGGGCGCTGCATGGATCCTGTAGTATCAAACTCATCCCAACCACCAAAACGGGGAGCATCTTGGTTATCCTTATTAACCGAACCATTACCATCAACTACCCAAGAACGATACCCCGTTCTTCCCTTCACAGCTTCCTTTTCTTGTTCTTCATCACCTATTCCAGCATCATCTCGAGTTCTGCCAGTTGTTTTCCTCCTCTTTCGGGCCTTGCTTTTGGTCTTGCTTTGAGTCTTCTTGAGCAACTTCTCAACTGCAAATGTCAGTGCCGACTGTGCAATTGACAACGCTAATACCATGAGAAAAGCTTTCGGTCCAGTAGCAAGCAGCGAAGTTATGACGATAGGTGGAAAGATCCAACCATAGGATTTGGCTAGCTGCACTGACCGAAGAATAAAACTATTGAGACTTCTTAGAATTGCATTAATTTCAATACTATAGTAGAAATTACAATAATTAAAGATATTCCCAGCAAAAGTAAATAAAATCAGTAATTTCTCCGAACTGAAGTAGCAGCAAAGAAAACTAAATGCCAGAAAAAATCAATCAAACTCAATGGATGCATTCTTGCAATGACAATCGACATGGCATACGTAGTTCCTGCAGCTAATTTTTACCAAGACTAGCCCATTGTTTGATTGTTTTTCCTTTTACAGTCTCAACAACCCAATCCATTCATAAGTTGCAAAACCTTGAACTAACTTTATGTTTATGTCTTCCCTCTTACAGACTCAACAAAGACGAAAAGAAAAAACATTTTGGTAGGTACAAATTAAGGACAAAAAATTACCTGAAGAACCCACAAACTGTCAATAGCTTCCTCCAAAATGACAGGAATTTCTTCTTCTTGGTCCGACCACCACCTCCGCTTCCTTTTCTTTCCCTTTCTTGTAGAACCATCCTTTTCTTCTTCATCATCTTCTACCAGCACTGAGTCGTCGCTTTTGTTTTTGTCTCGAAACTTGAAGTTAAAGTTAACTCTTCGCGTTTCAGCATTTGAATCCCAGCGATTACCACTGCTACACCTAGTAGTGGTACTATGGTATCGAGAGTAGAAGAAGAAATTGGGTTTCGTCAATTTCCGTAATGAGATGAAAGGTTTTTGTGAGGAAGGGTTGGAGCAAGGTTGCGTCGTCAACAAGACAAGACCACCACAGCCGCAGCCGCTAGCATAGGACTCCATCTCCAATCGTAGCTCCTCCCTCCATTTGCCACGTTCTCTTTATCCCCCTCCACTCCATCAAAGATAATAAATCTCCATTTTATTTGGGTTCATAAACATAACAAAATTTAACCAATGCTTTAAACGGCGTCGTCCCTCATCTTTACTAATGCTGCCGTTGACTTGTTCTTCGGGCCACAGAGCCCATTCTTGATCGTCCAAACTACAAGAAGACATTTCAACCGTTTCAAAATTAGTATAGCAATTAGGCGGTTTGGTATTGGGTTAACGTTTCGGTCCATCACTGCACCACTAAACAATTGATTAATCAAATTTTTGTATTGAATCATTTTGTTTAGTGAGAAGCCTACTTTAGTGATTTGAATGATAGTGCTAAGCAAACTATATAATTAAACAACAAGTGTGATTTGACCTTTTTTATTCCGTCAGTTTTTTTATTTTTTATTTTTTTTATAAAAAGCATTTATTGAAATTATCAAACATTTTTTTTTATAATTTCAATAAATTCTTTTTATACTATGAAAAAAATAACTAACGACGGTCAAAAAGGTTAAAAACACACATGTTGCATCATTATGCAATTTACTTAAATTTGTTAGTACAGTCTTTGATGGATGGCGCATAAAACAAAGTACAAAAAATTAATTAATACTTAAATTGATACGCAAACTTGATTACACAATTACTTCTAGTATAGGAATGGTATACGTGGTTAACCCATTTAGTATGGGATAGAAAAGATTCTATCGGTCTTGCTTGCAACTCAACATTAAGTTATAAAACCCAACCAATTGAATATGGACGTATAAGTAAATAAATTATATCAGCAAGGTTGTTATAGATAATGTATAGGAATTTAATTTCTATTTTTATTTTTTAGTTATTCTCACAGATAAAAGTATATTTTCCTAAAAATGATTTTTTTTTTTTTTCATCTACTTGATGAGTTTTCCTAACTCAATTTAGGACTAATGTAGAAAAATATCAATAGAAAATGATTGTAATTAATTAATGTTATTGTTACTCCTATTTTTTTTTTTTATGGAAAATATAAAAAGAAATTTGTGGAGGGAGGTCACTTCTTAGTCATGGGTAAAAAATTTAAAAAAGTTAATTAGAATAATTCTTTTTTTTTTCTTTTCAAACCTAAGACATCATCATTCGTATGTACTGAACTGCTGTTATACTTAAAATTTAATTTAGGTCTTCAAGTCCAATAAATTAGATAATCTAAAAGAGGCTTGATGGCTAATTGAGGAATTATCTTTTGGATGAGAAGTTTATGAAAAATGAATTCTTGGAGTTGTGATAGTTAGATGAGATAAGCACTTATGATAACTTTCCTAACAATTAGAAAAAAAAAATTGAACAAATAAAAGTGTAAAAATAGCGAAAAATAGGTGTACCAAGATTGTATTAGTTAGAAGATAACATAAAGCATTGCAAGGCAATGTAGTGTGTTTGATAAATAACCTGATATACCAATAATTGATTAATTTTATATGCTTGATTGCATCTCATGTTGTTGTAACTATGCAGGAAGCTCAAATTAAGTTTATAAATATTGATTTTTTTTCGTACAATGGATAAGAAAAAGAACACAAGGCTAGGGAAAAAAAAAATTACTAGCAGCATTACGAGCGATGACAGCAACAAGACCCTGAGAAGTATGATCCTAAATCCAAAAAAGTGCGTCCCTAAAAGAGCTAATTCTAGCAAGAAAATCAGCCCTATGATCTTCTTCTCTCAAAGTGTGGCTAGAGTATATAAATGAAATTTTGACAATTTTAGAATTTATATGTAGGAAAATATGTTATTTATAAAGCATTATATTTTACTTATGCATATCATTTTAATTGCTTCATAAATATTTAATGGGCATTGTGAGATAAAATTAGATGGCATAGTTTTTTAATTAAGTTATTAAAATTAAATGTTTGAATATGGATAATTAGCGACTAATATATTTTTATACACACACACACACACACACACACGACCGGTTTGACCGATGGATTGGTAGGTATACTCGGATGGATGATGCAATAAAATAAAATTGCACCAATGATCTCCATAGCTTATTGGACTACCCTAATGTGGTTCAAAAGTTTTTGAGAGAGGAGAGGGGAGAATAAAATAATTTAAAGATTAAATTTGAGTTTATCAATAGATAAATCGCATCTATTTCTAGAAACATATATCGAGTCCTATTAGTGGATTTAATTCAAAATGATCCATCATGGATGGACCGAATTGGCTAACTAAGGCCTATATTCCAACATCTCCCACTCGCTCTTGATGGTTACATGCACACTATCACTTCGAGACTCTTAAAAGTATGGATTGCTTTCGGCGAATCAATCTTTATGATTACCTTCATGTACCTAAAGCCCAAGCAAGAGTAAGCCCTTGTATAACAACTTCTAGCTTAGCCATCATTATAGAGATAAGACTAAGATACCTTGAAAAACCATTCTTTCAAGAGCCATGACAAGCTGCAAAGAAGGCTATATATCCCTACATAATTAGATGAACTAAGAAAGCTTCCATTAATATTAGACATAAATGAGTCTTACGAGAGAGTCTTTTAAGAAACCCAACACCGAGAATTTGGTAAATTGGCTAAGAAGAGTGTCAAAGGCTAATACACATACACAATCATGAACGAGAGAATGAATCAACCGAAAGCTAGCGACTAGAGGTTGTAATATATCCTTAGATAAATTTTTGGTTTCAAGCACACTAAATAAACCAATAAATGAGGATAAATAGGCAAAGTTAAGCACAAAAAATATTACTATGAAACCAATCATTCCATGAGTCGGAGAAAAACATTAGTAATGAAACAATGGTGTGGAGTCGTTGCTAAATAACTTTATCCCATATGTAATCATGAAGAATGTGTAAAATTGTCCCCCGAGCCTCACTATGTTAAATACATAAGAGAAGTGGATATCTCTCTATCGAATAAGAGCAAATTGCTAGGGATGTGTTGTCACTCTAGTTGTAAATGAAAAAAGAAATGTTTTCATGTGGAAAGCGTTTTTCAAATATTATTCTTGTGAGAATTCAACTCTATCGAGTAAGAAATTGTTATAATGAAATTATATCTAGATTTGTCCGTGTAACATCCCGAACCATTCTCTCCCCAAGCCAATTTGCCCTTTGTTAAAAACACTTTGAGAAGAGGAGTAGCCATTAGAGAGGCACTAATATTAGGTGGAAGAATGGTGTAGAGATGAGAAATATCCTAATTGCTAAACTAAAAAATAATATCAACTATCAGCTAACCCTCTATCCTCGGTAGTAATATTTGGCACATGATAATGCAAGTAGAACAAAAAACATCCATCTATCAAACCAAAAAAAAAATCTATCCATCACTAATTCTCTAAATAAAGTCTTTTTTTTTTTTTAATATGAAAACAATTTATAAATAGCTTTCCAAATTGGAAAAGCTATTTGAGAGGGATGACGATGAAATGATTATGCATTCTATGAAGGTGCGCAATAAATAAAATTTTATTTTCTCCATCTAAAGTTTTCAAGATCAACTCGTTGAATCAACTAACATGATGATTAGGGGTTACATCTTGTAGTGTAGAAATCAATTTGCAAAAAGAGCCATCCAAACGTTCAGTCTCTATTAATGATCTATGTAGCTCAAACACTCACACAAGAAGCAATAGAAATCATGGAAGTCAATGGAAAATTTGCAAGAATTTCCCTTGTATTTTGCTATTTTTCAACGTTTTTCTCATTTCTTTACCACCCCTATTTATAGGTAGGATTGGTTGGAACTTTTTCCTTGATTGACTTGATCTCCACCCTTAATTTAGTCTAATCTTAGCCCTTAATCTTTCTTTTAGTCTAATCTCTTCATTTGGTTTAAATCCTAACCATTCATTCTTTCTTTAATTCTTAACTCTCCATCTAACCATCTACTTTAAACCTTATCTCTCCATTTGTTCATGCAATTAATAAATCCAAATAATTGAGGTAAAGTGGTTACAAAAAGAGGAAGAAAATCTCTCCAAAATTATTTAAGTTTTAGTCCCTCAATTTAATAAACTTTCCTACAATTACTTTCTCACAAGTCCTCCAATTATTCAATTGATTCTTCTGAGCCCTTCCTTTAAGGTTTTTCTAACAACTTTTTACTTCCTAAAGTTCATTGCTAATTTAATTTGAAAGCTCAAACTTTTAATTTTATGCAATTGGATCGCTAATTCTATGCAATGAGGTCCCTATCTATGCAAAATTCATTCTACACCTTTCCAAAAATTAATTTATTTTTACTATAAATTCAAAAATCTCCTATAAGAATTTATTCATCATTTACATAATTTTTATACACATATTTAAGCCCTCAAATTAATTACTTTATGTAAAAATACACTTATTTCTATAAAAATATTTCTTATGCATATAAAAATTCATCCGAGTCCATAAAAAATTCCAACACCTCCTTAATGATTTTTCTATTTCCTTTGGATAATTTCAAACATATTTAAAATACTTCAAATAATTAATTTGCATGAAAATCACTATTCATGCACCGAAAATATTCACCGAACATCGGAAAATTCATCCAATGGCATCGAATAATCTAGCACCCCTCTAGCAAATATTCTATGCAAACAAAACATTTTTCAATCACATTTAAAATACTCAAAATAATTATTTTGCATAAAAATTACTATTCATGCATCGAGAATCGGATAAAATATTCACTCAAGCATCAAAACATTATTCTAAGCGCACTCGAATATTCCAAAAATCCCTTAAAAATTATTCCATGCCCATGAAATATGTTTCTCACACATTTAATAGATTATTAATTAATTTAATAACGATTCGAGGTATTACACAATTACCCCATTTTAAGCTTTTTCACCGAAAATCACACCTAAATTTATTTTACTATATGCTCTTTATTATCATAACTATTTTAAACTTATTATCTTTGAATTATTTATTTTTATTTATTTATTTAATCG